AACTATCTGTAAAATAAAATGAGATAATGCCTTAAAATTCAGAATTATCTTACAATGTAAATCTGTATCTTTATGCATGTAAGTGGGGTGGAAAAATATTTTAAGAGACAGTTTTTGTAACGCATTTTCGTACACCACCACCCCCCACTATGACTTCCATGTAAAAATAAACAGTAAATATATTTAAATATATTCATTTATAACAATAAAATAGAATTATTGCCTTTTTGACAACGTAAGCAATCGCAAAAAATCCAAAGTCCAAAAAATGTAATATATATAATATATAATAAAGTTTATTTGTATAACACTTGCCACAGTTGGTTAGCACTGTTGCCTCACAGCAAGAAGGTCGCTGGTTCACGTGCCGTTGAGGACACCCGGGATCTTTCTGGAGTTTGCATGTTCTCCCCGTGCAGCGTGGATTCTCTCCGGGTTCTCCAGCTTCCTCCCACACAGTCCAAAAACATGTTGAGGTTAACTGGTGATTCTAAACTGCCTTCACCCTGAGTCAGCTGGGATAGACTCCAGCCCCCTATGACCCTAGTGAGGATTAAGCGGTGTATAGATGATGGATGGATGGATGTATAGCACTTTTTAGGAACAGAATTCGCAAAGTGCTTTTTCATAACAAAGAAAAACAACACACAGAGAGAAAAGGCAACACAGGAAAACAACATAACGTATAAAAAAAACAGGCAGACACTCAAAAAAATCTAAAAATACACACAATAAGAATGGAAAAGAACAGGCTGGGTCACTATTGAAAGGTGCACTAGTACAACTGAGTAAAAAGACAACATCACAGCACAGAGGGGAATTAAGATAGAAGCTGAAGATAAAAGTAGATTAAGAAAAAGAAAAGAGAGACGGACAGCAGGCAGTGGCAATAAAACAAAAAGGAAAAGAAACCGGAGACAATCTACAAGAGAAATAAAAGAGAACAATAATGTATGGCAGAGCTGCTGCGTGGATGTACCTAATAAAAAGAACATATTGTCGGTTTGTCAGGTATTCAGGCTACATTTCCCTGAAGGAATCCTGTCTCTTGTGATTTTTTAAACGATTTCTAAATGATGTCTATTAACCAGCTGTCCTCTCCACTGGTGTACTTAGCTGCTTAGTTCATACTATGTCAGTATGTTAGCTCCTCGGGCCATTTCT